ACATATGTGAGAAGCACAGGCGTATACCAAGAGGGAGGATTTCACGGAGGCAAGAGACCCAGGTATTCTTTCAATGATGCCTCAGATAGATTCTGAAGCTCTCACTTTGATAAAGGAATCCACTTTTCAAATGCTGTGATTCTCTCTAATGTACCTAGCAAGAGACCTACCATCTTAGGCTGTGAATATTCTTTTATATCTTGATATGAACAGTGGATTTGACTAACAGGTTCCAGCAGACAGAAACAGTTGAGAACATAAAACATAAGAAAGAAGGAGCAATTTCAAAGTATCATGACTTGGCTGAGTTTTTCTTGTCCTCATAGAATAGACTCTGACTTGTATGGATAGTTGCTTCTGATTAAGCAAAATTCCAGGCCATCTAAGATTATGATTAGCTGTCAATATATTCACTTATTTATCCCACAAGTCTAAAGGTGGTGAGTGACTGCAATGTGGAGAAACAAGCATATTAAATGAAACTGAATTAAATACAAGAAGGTATATTCTCTCTGCTAGAATTTATTTTTTAATGGAGATATATTTTACTGTCATACAGCTGCTGATTGACAGTGGCTGTGATTTTTATTTTATTTTTAATGAGTTAAAATCTGTTTACATTGTTATCTGAGTTTTACAGGATATGGATATGCCTCTTTATGTGTAGTTACTAAACCACCCCCACTGCCAAGGCCCCCACAATCCATCCCCATGGTCTCTTGTGCCCCCTCTTCACTCTGTTCTGGTCTTTCCCCCACTTGCTCAAACTGACCTCAGTTTGATAGTCAGCTTTTTAGGGTTTGTTGCTAGTTTGGCTTTATCTGACCCTTTGTAAATATTCACTAATATTTATACTGGATAGAAAGACAAGGTGTCTTTACCCAAGCTGGTAAATCAGAAAGCTTTCATAAGGTAGGGCATGAGGACTGGTACAGCTGAACATTTAGAGAAAGGCTGGCAGAATATGCAGATGCTAACTTAATAATTGCGGTTCATTCTTCCGCATAAGGAGATATTCCAGCACTCTGTCCTCAGCAGTCTACTGGTAATTTTAATCGAGTCCATAAAGGTAGACTTAAAGGTGTACTCAACTATCTTCTTGTGGCAAAATAGTCTAAATTCTTCAAAACCCGGGGAAATAGAAACCATTATTTAGAGGTGCGATTGGAATAAATGAAATTATAAGAAGGCCACAGTATTTCTTTTATCACCAGTCTTCTTAAACACCTCCAGGCTAAGCCAGTAAAGTATGTAAAATACTTTTGATATTTTATATCAAACTTGAACACCATTCATTTCAACAATATGAAATGATTACTAACATCTTATCATAGCCTCCAGTTTTAGTTTGATTAGCTATAGTAGACCTGCTTTTAGCATCAAAACCTCTGTAGTTTGCTCTCTAAACAATATAATAGTCAGAGACACTAAGGCTCTTTTTAATTTGCAATTGCTATTAGAAGAATTTAGACACTGAACTTCATTTATAGAAAGTGTTATTGTTTAATAGAATATTTTTAACAGAAAATAAAATCAAAATGATAATTAATTCCCATCCCTGAAAATAGTTATTGCAAATTAGCAGAATCCAAAGACACTTGAAGATATTGAAACTCTTGTCTCAATAAACATAAGGAAAATGCATGACAATTTTTCTAGGGCTAATTGACTTATTCAGCTTGCTAAAATAAAATGAACTTAGCATAAATAATATTTATGTTACACATTAAAAATTTATAGGAGCTAGACTTTAAAAGCATTGATTTTGTTTGAACTAAGAATATATTTTATTAACATCAAATTTAAAAGTTCTGAAAAAGTGTTATTCCTTTTTGAAGCAGTTTTCCAGGTAACATACATCCTCTAATGTTGTCTGACTTTTGCTATGTATATTAAATGAAGATATCTGATTTTTTCTCACTTGATTAGATAAGCTAAGTCTTCAAAAGTGGGAAGGACAGTTTTCATTTTCTTTTAAATTTTATCAATGGCATTTTGCTGTTGAATAATGAATTTGTTTAACTACATCTGTAAAGATTTTAAGGAATACATGAAAGACAGAAAAGAGGAATTCATTTTATTTCCAGTTTCATTTTTCCTTATTCCACTTCCTTCCTTACCACCATTCTCATTTTTGACATAATTCTGCTTGGAACTTAGCCACATAGGGTGCCATAAATCTGAGATTTGAGCAGATTCTTTGGAAGGAAACAGGAAATTTTTTTATAAATTTATTGGGCCAGGCATAGAGTGAATAGCATCTTAAAATTCTTGAGAATTGACCAAGTTATATTACGAAAGGGGAAAGAAAGAACAAGAATGAGCCTTGGGTAGGCAGAGAACACCATAAATCATATAAGATAGCTTTTTGCTTTTATCCTTGGCTCCATATGTTCTTCTCAAAGAAAAACAGTAACAACTTAGCATTATTTGACACAGCTCGAGGAGGGCCTGGTAATTCTCTGTCACAGCTAAGCAACACCATTTATAAACTTAATATCAAAGCATTTGGGTTTTCTTTCTTAAGTTTTGTTGAACTCGACATAACATTTGCATATGTTTTAACTTTTTCAAGAAATATTCTGATTTTAATGATCGAGAGCAAAGAATATTAAAATGATTTAGTTTTGATATTAGTAGTGAAATATTTTAGTTGTTTTTTTTTTAACACCCTCCTACAATAAATTACAAGGGCCTCGTGGACAAAGAAACCAAAATTTGTGTTTTGCTATATTCCTCTAACTTGTTATCATTTATTATTTGTTTATACACACATATCCAATAGATTATGATTTAGATAATTCATATTTATGTTGATTGTAATTTGTGTTTATATACTACACATACGCATGCATTTTTAAGAATGTTGATAATACTTATTTTAATTATACCTGCAATGTGTTAAACAGCTCCAGCCAATGGGCAGTTATTTATGCTCATCACTAATTTTCTATTTTTCCTCTTTCAAACACAGCATATTTATGCATTTATGATATATATGAAACATTTCTGGGTAAAGGTAAACATTGGTAAACATTTCGATCAATGACACAGAGCAACTGGCTTTTCACTCATTTCATTTTCTCATGTCTTCAATTTAACATTAATCTGGTTTGCATTTTATGTGGTTGAGCTCACTGGGAATACATCACTAATAGCTTTTAGTGGAGACTCACCAGATTTGATGGTGCACTTGAGGTAAACACAGCATATTCTTCATATTCCCAGTTCCAAATGGGACTACTCCCCTGATAGAGATCTTATAGTTTTGCAAACCATTTTCTAGTTTCTTCTAGTAATTTTCCTTTTCCTTTGAACATTTTAAAAGGCTTATTCAAAGTGCTAAGTATTAAACATAATGGTGTTTTAGAAATATTAGTTCAAGAAAGTTCCAATATTTTTCTCGATTGATTCCACATTTCTTTCCCTAGATTTCCCTCTTTGTAAAATGATAGAAGCTATAATATTCTCTCCTCACTCACTGTTATCATGATTTAATTTACTATTGCTTTTTTACTTTCTAACTTTATTTTTTGTCCTTTTACACTCCACAGATATTTTGCAGTAAATATGCATTCATTTTACTAAATGTTCTTAAATATAGTATAATTCATTAAACCTGCTACTTCATCCTGCTTGTAATTATATACATAACTATAAAAATGCAGAGAATCATCTATCCAATCTTACAAAATCACCTGGTAGACAATTGCAACATATAGAGAGCATGAATTTTGTTGTCTTACTATTGTGAGACAAAGAAGAAGGGAAAAAAAAAAAAAAAACCCAACAGCACAACCAGGAATGTTAAATATCTAGAAATTGGTTCAATTCCAACAAATTTATATAATTTCACCTTAAGCTGACTCCAGTTAACTAGAGTAAGTTGGTAACATATTGTCTCCTATGTTGTCAGCCATGTGTTACAGGGTTTCTATCATGGCATAGCCAAGCAAGATGGACAAAAGAACTGGCAAGTTACCAAAGATAAACTGCCAAAGAATAAAGTGAGAAAATCTGCTGTTAAGAAAGACAAGTCCATCAAACTAAAAGATGTGTGTCCTTGATTCAAGAGATCAGAGACGAGTGGAGATGTGGGGAAGCAAGGCTTGTCCCCAGCATAACTTCATCTTGGAGAGTCATGGAAGCAGAAAGGATGGTTATCTTCGTTTACAATAACCAAATTCAGTCAGAATATCTGTGCCTGAAACTAGGTCAAGGATGTTCTGAGAAAGAATAGCTCCAGGGTAGGGTGAGGTTATTTGTAATTTCCATAGTAAAAATAACATCAGTTAATTATTTTGTCTGAATTTGCAAGCCTGATATTTGATGTTCCAACTTCCTTAGTCTCTTTCTGCTGTTATCACTGCAGAAATATGCAAGTAAACAAACAATTGCATTCCATTTTGGAGAAAGTTTTCTGAAGTTTTTCCCTCATAAACTAGTAAAGAACTCTACTTCGCACTCATTGTTTATTACCACTAATAATATTTTTTGATTGAAAAATAAAGTACCCCAAAGAGGTTAAAGACACCATTTCAATCAATACTTTAATGATGTGTGTGCATGTGTGTGTTTGTGTGTGTGTGTGTGAATTATTTGGGCTACGGTTACAGTTCTAATTTTTAGGTGACTAATTTTAAGATGAAAATATGATTACTCCTACAGACTATCAATTTCAAAGAACAATTTATAATCCCTCTTTTATTTGCCCTATTCCCTAAGCCAATGTAAGCTTATTATATTTTCATAACTCTCCCTCTCTGAACCCATCTTTGCTCTTCAGCAAATATGCCACCAAAATACCCTAAGTGCAACAGACTTACCTACAAATACCTGCAAGACTTTGCCTTTCTATTCAGTGGCCCTTAAAATTTAGGCATATCAAACATTATTAGTCTTCAAAAACCAGGATGCATAATTACAGGCACCCAGTTCACCAATTCTTTTTAAATTTTATATAGCTAGATAGTACCAGCAGAACAGGGTCAGGCACCTACCTGACTGCTTGAAGTAGCATCTTCAATTTGTCATAAAACGCCTCCTCATTTGTATCCTGTGAAATAAGAAATAGTAAATACAATGTTTTTTTTTTTTTATTTCTAGAGTTGGAAGCATTTATTTAAACATCATATATAGAGGCCTCCCTTGTGGCACAAGGGTTAAAGACAGTTCTATCAAGCTATTGCCAGCCACTGCAGCACGAGTTGGATCCCAGGCCAGGGAGCTGACTCACACACGGCAGCAGACCTCTATTGTCTTGCCCGCTGCTCCCCTCAGCAGTGTATTTCAGTAGATCTGCCTGTTCTGCTCCCCACTCTGTCACTGTGAATCCTCTCAATCCCCCACCCACCCAGCATCTCTGGCCTATACCCCAGCTCTTGTATGCATAAAATAAATAAATCTTTAAAAAAAATTTAAAAAATCCCTAGTAAGGGATTCCTAGGTATGTTTTAATTCAAAATTAATCATGGTGAGCCTTTTTACGTAAAAGTACCTTGATGGCATAGTTCAGGCAAAAATTAGCTAAAACTATAACTGTGTTTAGTTAATAGAGAAAAATATATTTGTTTTGTAAACTAATTTAACGTAGGTCTTGAGAACTGAACAGTCTAAAGTGAAAACAAAATTGAATGTAAGATTTAGATACATGATTCCATCTGGCAAGTGGGGGCTAACTCAATTTCCTAACCCAGTGGTGACACTGACCTCTCTGAAATAGCTCATCCCAGCAAAGGTTAATGAATGTTAGAATTTACACAACTCATTTGGGACGCAGTGCCATTTTCCCCCTTTTAGTGCTGTTGATCCAATGTTGTGGAAGTCAAATTTAGTTAAAGTACAAGATAATGGAATTACATATTTCTAATTGAATTGATGCACCTTGGAAACCTACATATGCCCAAAATGTTTTCTTACAATTGAACTACACTTTCATTAATTAATTTTCACTAATGTAAACATAGAGAGAGGACATATTTCACTTGCCTTTCAACACAGAGGGACACCTTTGGTCTACTTCTTTTAAATTGGCACACTAAGTAATTACATGCTGATGAATCATGTATTTGAATCACAAATTGTTTTTAATAAGTTTACCAAAATTTTTAATAACAAATCTTTGAAACTTTATAAAAATAATTACTTATTTTATTCCATGTATTTTAAAAATATAGAATAACTGAAATAAAATGTAGAAAATAAGAAGATAGAGGGATTAGTTCCAGTCTCATGTCTGCAATTACTTTTGTACCACGAACATCAAGTGTTTTAAACTCTCCATAAATCTCCATTTTCTCATTTGGAAAGTGGAAGAGTCAAATTATGTGGTAGAGCTTCTTTACTGGTCTCCAAATACTTTCATTCTTCCTAGAGGATACCATCCTTCAAGCTCCCTTATATTCTGGAATGTCAGAAATTATAATATTTGTGTAATGCATCTTGTCCTCATTAAAGTCACTTATTTTACAGTGAAACAAAGCTGTCTGGATTTTATAATATAAACACCACACATTTTTTAACCTTTGTGTCCTCAGTGCCTATTAGCTGATGTGAAAGATTTTAATTTCAGAATGAACCTAAAAGAAGGGTCACATATCACTTGTCTATTGCTGTGGGATAGATTATACCAGCATATATACCATATATGGTAGCTGAAAGTAGTACTGCTTCATCCTCATAGTTCCCGGTGGATTAGGAACTCAGACATGGTTTAGCAGCTCCTGAAGTTCACAGTCTTTCAGAATGCAAAGATCAAGGTGTCTATTGAGACTAGTGTCTCTTCCCAACTTGGGTAAGAGTTCTTCCCACTTCTAAAGTTGTTATTGGCAGTCCCTCAGTTGTCGATTAAGGGCCTCCCTTCCTTGAAGGTTAATGACTATAGTCTTTCCCTTAACTCCTTGGCTCATGCATCTTTCCCATGTAGTAGGTTGCTCTATAAAACCAGCACATTAGGGGGAGTCTACCAGCAAGACAGAAATCACCAACTCTTGTAATCTGATTATAGAGGTGACATTCCCACAGAATTGCCATATTATATCAGTTAGTAGCAAATGATTCAAGGGGAGAGAATTATACACAGCTGCAAATAATAGGAGGCAAGAACATTGACATTTATCTTAGAGGATGCCTGCTGGAGGTCATCTGCAAAGTCATTTATGATTCTACCTCACGGAGAACATAATCAGATGTCCTAATTAGATTTTGGTAAGTATTTCTTTTTTGTTCATATATTTTCCTAATTGTCATTAGCCAGATCCCAGACAGGGGAAAAAAAAATACAGTAGAACAAGAAAAAAGAAAAGACGAGAAGGAAAAGTCAGAAGAGAATAGGAATATGGTGGAAAATTAATGAAAAAAGTATTCAATTCTATGTATTTCATTTTTTTATTATGCAGTTGGGAACAATGTGGTACCTGGGCAAAATAAACCACTGAGACTAGTGCTGAGCAGAGCATTAAAGTTTTATAATTTTCAGATTGAATAAGGTGGATTCTTTGACTCAGTGTCCATTTGAATCCCAGATACAGTGCTCAAAAAGATTGTTTCGTTCTTAGTTTTATTACATATTAGTGAAATGACTATGGGTATTTTAATCAATCTGTTGTTTCTTTCCCCCATCCCCCTATAATAGAGAAGGGACAAAAGTTTATTGACTCATATATCTGGCAAATATTCAGTATTCAATATATGGCAATTAATTGCCATTGTGACTTCATTACTTTTTTTTTTTGACTGGAGGCATGATAAATTCTATTTCATAGGCATTATAATGTGAATTTGTAAAGTTGAAACTGGTATCATATTGTTGAAACAAATAGTAACTGAAATATTCATCATTTGTTATTTCTATAGCAGCATCTTCACCTTGAAGGAAAAATTTTTTGCTTTATTAAAGCATGATTTATGTAAGTTTGCTTATATATAACCAATGAGCCAAAGTAAAGATAAACTTGACCCATAAGAATCAATGTCCTACTGGAACTTGGATGTCATATCTGTATTCATGAATTGATATGGTGGGGGGAGTTCAATGTAGGTTTCCTGAGAGCAAAATATTTATATAAAGCAGCAAAAAGAAAACAAATGTCAAAAACAAACATGCAAAATACCTACAAATCATTACCCAGTGTTAACACAATAAAGAGATTAGTAAAAATATACCAATAAAATAGCAAAACTGTGTAAGCATTCACACAAGGTCCTGTAAAAAGCATTAGGACCTTGCAAAATATATGCTTTTTTAAGTAAAGTTTAAAGCAACAGAATAGCTTTACTGAGAAAAAGTGATCCTTAAAAGTAAGCAGTCTGCAATTAACTCAAAAATGCATAATAAATCAAAAAGATTGACTGGTGAAGAGAAAAGGAATAGGCAGAGGATAGGTAGGCAGAATTATGGAAATGGAGTCTTTGTCCATACCACTAATTTGAGGATCCTGAATTTGTGGTAATTTATTAAACAAATAATAGAAAAGTAATAGATTTATGAGATAAAGCAAATACAGTCCAATGCAAATAGTAGAATTATAGATAACATGTATATGGGTATACGTTATATTCTCCCAATTTAAGTATGTTTGAAAATGTTTGTAAAAATGTCTGAAACAATTTAACAAATTGTATCATACCATAAGATAATGAAAGAGTACAAAAATTGAAATGGTAGTGGAGCAATGTTATGGAAAACTAGCTTGATCAATGATAATTGATAAAAATAGTTTTATGAATAAATTTCCATACTCATTTGTTTTCAATACTCATTTGTATCATAAGGATCAGTATTTCCTGAACTTTATTATTCTAAATAGATAAAGGAAAAAGTTTCGCTCTCATTCAGATTGTCAACACTCCCTGAAAGCAATTAAATATAATGCAACAGAATATATAATCCAAATGGAATAAAATTGCCTGTCTAGTCTGAATTCAGGTAAATGAAAGTGTGATTATGGGTAGTCAAGGTGTCATCAGAAGTATGAGGTCATGGTGATTCTCTTAGCAGCCAAGCTCCAAATTAAAATTATCAGTTGCTACTCATGTATGACTTTCTGAAGGGTTTCCATAGTGTTGTTAGTGCCATGTCTAGCTAATCAGTGTGGGAAATGGAGAGAAATGGATGTTGGTTTCTTTCCTTGATATTGATGTGGGAATTAAGTACACACAAAAAGTACATAAATTTAATCTGTTGAAATCTTTACCATAGTTTCTAAATGCAAAAATCCAGTATGCTGATATTCCTCTATCAGAGCCATAGTCAGTATCTCTCCTGCAGCCCCTAGGCATGGTGATCTCACTTTTTTTTTTTCCTCTTAAGATTTATTTATTTATGCATACAAGAGCTGGGGTATAAGCCAGAGATGTGGGAGGTGAAAGGATCCACCAGAGACAGAGTGGGGAACAGAACAGGCAGATTGACTGAAATACACTGCTGACGGGAGCAGCGGGCGAGTCAGGAGAGGTCTGCTCTGCCATGCGGGTTGCTCCCTGGCCGACCAGGGCTCAAACTCGTGCTGCAGAGGCTGCAGATTGCTTCATAGTGCGGTGCTTAACCCCTTGAGCCACCAGGGAGGCCCTGATCTCACCTCTAACTACCAAAATCTATGATGGATTTTATGCCTGAGGACTTTCTGCCACCAGAGTCAGCTCTTGCAAGGGCAGGGCTGATGGAAAGCACTGGCAGTTAGAACCCCCAGGATAAATCTTTAACTTGTGACCTGGAGAGTTAATGGATAATAGCCTACTCCCCAACTCTCAAATGAGATAACTGTGTGGCACACTTAGCTCTGACTACCCACTGGGATTAAACTCTAGTTGTTTGTTGTGGTGATGTACTCTCAACGTGCCCTTAATTGACTTCATTTCATTCTCTGTCTCATTTCCCCAACCCCCTACAGGTGGTTCCTTTGGATTACCTCCCAAATAACTTTTAGAATTCCCTACTCTGAGAGAATTCAAACTAAATAGTACCTTACCTATAAAGTAAATTAAAAAAAAAATACAAAGGATGTTTAAAAAATAAAATTATAGTAAGTTTCATATCCTATAAATACACTCTATTTG